CTCCCCAAAACCCCAAAACCCCAAAACCCCGTATTCCTAATAGCAGGAACCATTTTATCAAATTTTAATAAAATAAAAGTAAACTTTAGGCACAAAAAAGGAAGAGTTCCTTAGCTTAACTTTGCCAATTAAATTGATCCAAACCCTCCCGCTTAATCTTAGATGTAAGAAGAATGAAATAAACTGTTTAGGCTACTAGCAAATTTAGGGTTGGAAGTCTCAGTAGATATATGCTGGGCCATAGCTGGGACCTTATGTCTTATTTCAAACAAACTCTTTATTTGCAGTTTAGCTTGCGATTTAGGAGGAAAAGTTGTAATTTTTTAAATAAAGATACTATCTATCTTAGCAAAGAATCTTCAAAAGGGATGCTTCTCCACTGGTCCCCAAGTAGTGTTAGAAGAATTACTCAGGCTATTGGAGCTGTTGTGGATATCTACTTTGAAGAAGAGTTACCATCTATCCTTAATTCTCTTGAGGTTGATAGATTTGATAAGGCTGGTACTTGAAGTGTCCGCACATCTGGGTGGGCACACCGTCTGAACCATTGCTCTTGACTCTACCGATGGATTTGTGAGAGATTATGAAGTTGTTAACACTGGAGATCCAATCAGAGTGCCAGTAGGAAAGCAACATTTGGAAGAATCATGAAAAATATTGAACAAGCTATCGATAAGAGAGGTCCAATTGATATTGATTACTACTTACCAATTCGTAGGAAGGATCCTTCCTTCGAAGATCAGAGTACTGAGGTAGAAATCCTTTAGCAAGGAATCAATTTTGTTGATTTGTTGACTCCATACTCGAGAGGATATAAAATGTTATTTTAGGAGGAGCATGAGTTGGTAAAACAGTGTTTATCATGAAGTTTATTAAAAATGCTGAGAAGAGCCATGGTTGTTTCTCGGTATTTTCTGGAATAGGAGAAAGAACTAGAGAGAGTAATGATCTTGCCATGAAATGATTGAGTCTGATATAATTGATTTTGAAGGAGATAAATCAAAAGCAGCTCTTGTATATGAACAGATGAATGAAAATTCTAGTGTCAAAACCAGGGTGGATTGGCTGGACTGTAGCTGAATATTTCAGAGATGAAGAAGGATAGGATTTGCTGGTCTTTAATCTTGAATTACTCTGAAAATATTTTCAGATTCGATCAGGAATGTTCATAAGTGCCAACTTTGCTTGGTTTTATGCCATCTGCAGTAGGATACCAGCCAACCTTAGCTTCAGATTTAGGTGTATTACAAGAAAGAATAGTTATTGTTAAGAAAGAATCTATCACATCTGTACTAGCTATCTATGTGCCAAAAGGCAATATTACAGATCCAGCTCCGGCTACTACATTAGCACATCTTGATGCTACTACTGTTGTGTCAAGAGCTTTGACTGAGGTTAATATTTATCCAGCCGGAGATTTTCTCGATTCTAAACCAAGAATGCTTGATCCTGCTATTGTAGGAGAAGAGAATTATAACTTTGCAAAAAATACTCAGAAACTACTTCAGGATAATAAATCATTGCAGGATAATATAGACCATTTGGGGTATGGATGAGTTAGCACCTCAAGATAAATTTCCAGTCACAAGAGCAAGAGAGATATCATTCTTCCTCTCTCAGCCATTTTTCATGGTTGCTGTTTTCTCTTGTATGGATGATAAATCTGCTTATATTGAAGGATTCAATGTTCTCTTGAGAGAAGAAGGAGATGATTACTTAGAATCAGTTTTCTATGTGGTCGGTATTTTCGCTGAGACCTTTGACAAGGCTAAGGAGAAGAATACATAGTCTAAATAAATTATTCTAAGCTTTGTCTTAACTTTTCAATGATATTAAAATATAACGGGGTTTTGGGGTTTTGGGGTTTTGGGGTTTTGGG